CGCATCACTCGTCGCTCCATCGTTTCATCGCATCACTCTGTCGTTTGAATGCATCACTCCATCGTTTCATCACTTCGTCGTATATCGCATCACACCATCGTTTCATCACTCTGTCGTATATCGCATCACTCCATCGTTTCATCGCATCACACCATCGTTTCATCAGTCGTCTATCGCGTCACTCCTTCGTTTCATTACTCAGTCGTATATCGCATCACTCTGTTTCATCACTTCGTCGTATACCGCATCACTCCATCGTTTCATCACTTCGTCGTATATCGCATCACTCCATGGTTTCACCACTCCGTCGTATATCGCACCACACCATCGTTTCATTACTCAGTCGTATATCGCATCACTCTCTTTCATCACTCAGTCGTATACCGCATCACTCCATCGTTTCATCACTCTGTCGTATATCGCCTAACACCATCGTTTCATCACTTCGTCGTATATCGCATCACACCATCGTTTCATCACTCAGTCCTATATCGCATCACACCATCGTTTCATCGCATCACTCCATGGTTTCATCACTTCGTCGTATATCGCATCACATCATCGTTTCATCACTCAGTCGTATATCGCATCACACCATCGTTTCATCACTTCGTCGTATATCACCTGACACCATCGTTTCATCACCCAGTCGTATATCGCATCACTCCATCGTTTAATCACTCAGTCCTATATCGCATCACACCATCGTTTCATCGCATCACTCTTTGGTTTCATCACAAAGTCGTATATTGCATCCCACCATCGTTTCATCACTCTGTCGTATATCGCCTCACACCATCGTTTCATCACTTCGTCGTATATCGCATCACACCATCGTTTCATCACTCAGTCCTATATCGCATCACACCATCGTTTCATTGCATCACTCTATGGTTTCATCACTCAGTCGTATATCGCATCACTCCATAGTTTCATCACTTCGTCGTATGTCTCATCACACCATCGTTTCATCACTCAATCGTATATCGCATCACTCCATCGCTTCATCACTCAGTCGTATATCGCCTGACACCATCGTTTCATCACTTCGTCGTATATCGCATCACACCATCGTTTCATCACTCTGTCGTATATCGCCTCACACCATCGTTTCATCACTTCGTCGTATACCGCATCACACCATCGTTTCATCACTCAGTCGTATATCGCATCACACCATCGTTTCATCGCATCACTCCATGGTTTCATCACTTCGTCGTATATCGCATCACATTATCGTTTCTTCACTCAGTCGTATGTCGCATCACACCATTGTTTCATCACTCCGTCGTATATCGCATCACACCACCGTTTCATCACTCTGTCCTATATCGCATCACACCATCGTTTCATCGCATCACTCTATGGTTTCATCACTCAGTCGTATATTGCATCACACCATCGTTTCATCACGCTGTCTTATATCGCCTCACACCATCGTTTCATCACTTCGTCGTATATCGCATCACACCATCGTTTCATCACTCAGTCGTATGTAGCATCACACCATCGTTTCATCGCATCACTCCATGGTTTCATCACTCAGTCGTATATCGCATCACACCATCGTTTCATCACTCAGTCGTATATTGGATCACTCCGTTTCATCACTCAGTCGTATATCGCATCACTCCATGGTTTCACCACTTCGTCGTATATCGCATCACGCCATCGTTTCATCACTCCGTCATATATCGCCTCACACCATCGTTTCATTACTCAGTCGTACACGCCTCACACCATCGTTTCATCACTTCGTCGTATATCGCATCACACCATCGTTTCATCGCATCACTCCATCGTTTTATGACTAGGTCGTATTTCGCATCAATCCCTCATTTCATCACTCCGTGGTATATCGCATCGCTCCATCCTTTCATCGCATTACTCTGCCGTTTCATCGCATCACACCATCGTTTCATCGTATCACTACTTCGTTTCATCACTCAGTCATATATCGCATCACTCCTTCGCTTCATCACTCACTCAAATTTCGCATCACTCCTTCGCTTTATCGTATCACTCAAATGTTTCATAGCATCACTCCATCCTTTCATCGCATCACTCCATTGCATCTACAGTGTTCTATTTACTGTATCACTACAGCGTGTACAGCCATCATTCCATCGCATCAGCCCATTGTTACATCGCATAAGTCCATTGTTTCATTGCATCAGCCCATTGCATTGATTCACCACATCAGCCCATTGTTTCATCACGTCAGCCCATTGTTACATCGCATCAGTTCATTGTCTAATCGCATTGTTCCATCGCATCAGTCCATTGTCTCACCACATCAGTTCATTGTCTCATCGCATCAGCCCATTAAATTGTCTCCTCGCATCAGCACATTGTTTCATCGCATCAGTTCATTGTTTCATTGCATCAGCCCATTGTTTCATCGCATCAGTCCATTGTCTCACCACATCAGTTCATTGTCTCATCGCATCAGCCCATTAAATTGTCTCCGCGCATCAGCCAATTGTTTCATAGCATCAGTTCATTGTTCCATCACATCAGCCAATTGTTTCATCGCATCAGTTCATTGCCTCATGGCATCAGCCCATTGTCTCATCGCATCAGTCCATTTTTCATTGCATCAGTCTATTGTTTCACCGCATCAGTTCAATGTCTCATCGCATCAACCCATTCATTCATCGCATCAGATCATTGTTTCTTTGCATCAGCCCATTGTTTCATCGCATCAGCACATTGTCTCATCGCATCAGCCCATTGTTTCATCGCATCAGTTCCTTGTTTCATCGCATCAGCCCATTGTTTCATCGCATCAGTTCATTGTCTCATCGCATCAGCCCATTGTTCCATCGCATCAGCCTATTTTACATCGCATTGGCCCATTGTTTCATCGCCTCAGTTCATTGTTTCATTGCATCAGCCCATTGTTTCATCACATCAGCCCATTGTTTCATCGCATCAGCCCATTGTTAGATCGCATAAGGCCATTGTTTCATCGCCTCAGCCCATTGTTTCATCGCATCAGCCCATTGTTTCATCACTTAAGCCCATTGTTCCATCGCATCAGCTCATTGTTTCATCGCATCAGCTCGTTGTTTCTATGCATCAGCCCATTGTTTCATCGCATCAGCCCATTGTTTTATCGCAACTTCCCATTGTTTCATCACACTAGTTCACTGTTTCATCGCATCAGTCCATTGGTTCTTCGAATCAACCCAATGTTTCATCTCATCAGCCCATTGTTTCATCGCATCAGTCCACTGTTTTATCGCAACAGCCCACTCTTTGAACTCATCTGCCCATTGTTTCATCACATCAGTCCATTTTTCCGTCACATCAGCCCATTGTTCCATCGCATCCGCCCATTCTTTCATCACGTCAGTCTATTGTTTCATTGCATCAGCCCACTGTTTCATCGGATCAGCCCATTGTCTCATCGCATCAACCCATTGTTTCTTTGCATCAGTCCGTTGTTTCATCACATCAGCCCATAGTTTCATCGCATCAACCCATTGTTTCTTTGCATCAGTCCGTTGTTTCATCACATCAGCCCATTGTCTCATCGCATCAACCCATTGTTTCACCGCATCAGTCCGTTGTTTCATCATATCAGCCCATTGTTACATCGCATCAGTCCATTGTTTCATCGCATCAGTTCATTGTTTCATCGCATCAACCCATTGTTTCACCGCATCAGCCCATTGTTCCATTGCATCAGCCCATTGTTTCATCGCATCAGTTCCTTGTCTCATCGCATCAGTTCATTGTCTCATCGCATCAGCCCATTGTTCAATCGCATCAGCCCATTGTTTCATCGCATCAGCCCATTGTCTCATCGCATCAGCCCATTGTTTCATCGCATCAGCCCATTGTTTCATCGCATCAACCCATTGTTACATCGCACGAGTCCATTGTTAGATCGCATGATTCCATTGTTTCATCGCCTCAGCCCATTGTTTTATCGCATCAGCCCATTGTTTCATCACATCAGCCCATTGTTTCATCGCATCAGCCCATTGTTGCATCGCATCAGCCCATTGTTTCATCACACTAGTTCATTGTTTTATCGCGTCAGTCCATTGTTTCATCGAATCAACGCAATGTTTCATCTCATCAGCCCATTGTTTCATCGCATCAGCCCATTGTTTCATCACATCAGCCCATTGTTCCAACGCATGAGCCCATTGTTCCATCGCATCAGTCCATTGTTTCATCCCATCAGCCCATTCTTTTTTCATCGCTCACTGATTCCTCATACATTTGTTTATGGCTTCTCCCAGTCTTTTCGTTATGTCTCTGTATGGCTCCATCGCTCGCACAAAACCTGGTGTTTAAACAGTAGTATTTCACGGCCATCATACGTCTGCGATGTTACGAGATGTCCATGGATGTATGAATGTTATGTGATATTCTTGTAGCGTATGTAAATAAACGATATTATTGAAGCATCAAAGTTTCAGGAAACATTCCTGAATTGGTTAAAATTAATGAAAACAGTATTCCTACATACAAGGGATAAGCTAATCATTTCATGATAAGAGATAGTTAACTCTTTAACGTGAGTCATACTAAATGCCGCATGAATTTTATTTATTTTATCAATGGCAGGTTATGCACAGAATAACTGATACTTTCACACAGGTAGTAACAGTATAGTGTCAGCAGTATCACAACCATTGGACAAAGAAGCCAGGGCGCCGGTGAAACCACACCCCTCTCCTGGAATAAACTAGATCCCCACGAAAAGGCTTAATCAATCTTAGGGTTAGCTCTGAAGATTAAATAAACAGTAACATTGCAGCTCCACACCAAGCAGACACATGTCGTTGGACCAGATGACCGATGTGTCTAAACATTTATACATGAAAATTACACATTGGTTATTGCCTGGAATCTAATTTGTAGAGACGTAGTTTGGACGTCGTTATTATTTACAGTTTACATGTTTTTTTTGTGCCTCCTGACTTTGAAATAATGCGCTTGTAATTTCTGAAACCAAGTGTTTGTCAGTTGGTTTGACCTACCTGTGGAACCCCAGCTCCTATGATAGCACCACTGTGAATCATCGGCCCTTCCTTACCAACAAACAAACCTGAAAGCACACAAAGTAATGAAATAAACCCTGGTCAATGACTGCTTTCAACTCGTATGACTAAATATAACACATATGATAACACAAAATAGTTTATCATTTCTCATGGCGGAATGCTGGCTATGTGCATCTTTGAGGAGTCTGGCGTATTGAGGTTCCGAGGACAAAGATAAAACGTACCTCCTGCTACACTGAAGAGAACTCCAATAGACTTGGCGAGAAGAGTGACGAACCTTGCAACACGCGGCACCTTGATGCCGTTCAGATAACACTTGATCTCGGGTATACCAGACCCTCCTGCAACGGGCTGGAACAGATAGTATTTGGATAGCGAGGCGTAACAGGTTCCCCTCCAACCCTCAACACACGATCTAAAACATCATTCACTTAACACTCACTCACGGTGCACAAATAACAAGTTTTCTCCCCCTGCATATAAAAAATTCACATACATCTTGGTCTCGGGTGCACTAGACTAACGCTTTCTTCCCTTACAATGACCGAAAACCTTTGAACAGATACATCTTGTTCTCAGAAGCACTAGAATAACGTTTTCCTCTCATGCAATGTCCAAAAAACCTTCTCATACAACTTGGTCTCGGCTGCACAAGACTGTCGTTTTCTTCCCCCGTTATGTCCAAAAACCTTCATATACATCTTGGTCGCAGGTGCACTAGACTATCGTTTTCTTCCCCCGTTATGTCCAAAAACCTTCATATACATCTTGGTCGCAGGTGCACTAGACTATCGTTTTCTTCCCTCGTTATGTCCAAAAACCTTCATATACATCTTGGTCGCAGGTGCACTAGACTATCGTTTTCTTCCCCCGTTATGTCCAAAAACCTTCATATACATCTTGGTCGCAGGTGCACTAGACTATCGTTTTCTTCCCCCGCTGTGTCCAAAAACCTTCATATACATCTTGGTCGCAGGTGCACTAAACTATCGTTTTCTTCCCATGTAATGACCACAGAAGTAAGAAACACTTGATCGTGGGTGCACTAAACCCTCCGCCAGCAGCATGGGCTGCAGCAATCAGATATAGTTTGTAGTATATCACATCGAACTAAGTATGTTATAAAGACACCTTTGTGTAACCAAATCTGGGCCCTTTAACACTGCAGACCACAGCAAAAGTATCGTGAGAGATAACAGTGTTGGCAACTCTGTTTAGTCTTCTTGTGCCGACTACCCTGTTAAATATGTGTTAGCATCCAAATATTAACCTAAACATGTTACTTGTCCCAATTTTACCTCCTACATATATGTACATTAGGGCTAGATTGTGTTTAGGTGGTGTTTAGGGTGAAGGAAGATGTCGCATTTAATCTGCGTAGGAGTTAATAGATGGGCACAACAAATATGCGTTTCATTTAGGTCCCCTTTGTTCAACAGCCTCGGTTCAGATGTAACTAGTTACCAACCATTTAATCAACAAATGCATACATTGAGAGCAACAAAAGCAACAAGTTAACAAGCATTTGTCTTTTATTAGATCGTGGGACCGTGGTCATTCAATCGGAAATAGAACAATCAATATGTTTATGCTGTTTTTACATGATTAAGCTTTCTTGACAAGACCTTAGTCTTCACATAAAGCCAGATATAAGTAAGTAAATCATCACAACAACGTCTCCCAGATGAAATATCACAAAAGTGTACGTCACGATTTAAGTGTACTGTTTCACTTCTACTTTCACATCTCCTTAACGTATGGCTAGTTTTTGTGACATTTGTCTCTAGAGACAGACGCACAGAGGGCTGCTAATGTACACTTTTCTGAAGTAATTAGAGTCAATGAATGTTTTCTGAAAAAAACCCAGTGACATCGAAATATTACAGTAGGCTAGGGAAACGGCCTTGGAATATGTCAGCTGAAAGTGGACACGAAATAAAGCATTATGCAGCAGTTCACGCTTCAACGTGTTCGTGTTGAACATTACATTCACAATGCAGTGTTGTAACGATCTCTGCATGTTTCCTTTGATGAACTGGAAATTATTGTCAAGGGCTTTCGATAAAGTATTTTGAGGGTTGTGACAATCAACAACACTGCTTCCAATCAGTCGGACAAATCGAACACAGCATCGGCGTGCTGGTACTGACCACATGGCCAGGAGTGACGATGTGTTGATTTTTTTGTTTCGCCAGCAAGAACTGTTCTAATGGTCCAGCGGACAAAAGGTGTATGATTATATTGTGAATAATGAAATTGTATAATTATTGTTTGCATTCGTGCCGACATTATCCGGAGGATCACAGTGGTGCTGTTTGAAAGATTATGTGTGTGCGCGCATGTAAATTCGCGTGAGTGTGGGCGGTTGTGTTTGCATGTGTACGTGTGTGTACGGTTAGGTACAGTTTCTTCTCAGCAATAAATATGCTCGATTAAATAGTTTCGGTTCGGGATCGACCACTCGATTCCTTGGATAGGTTGAAACTTTGTATTGGGGTCAGATACAGCGGCAAACAAGATACATGAATGTGAGGGTGCATACATACCTCATACACTGTCAGACAGGCGGCGATGATGACGAAGCCCACGTTGAACAGAAGCAGGAAGAGCAAGGACTCCACCAGACACCCGTCTTTAGAACACCTCATTATAGCTGGCATGTCAAGGCACCGAACGCTCCAACATGATATTAATACGAGGCTCGTTAGTATATATACTTTACATTATTATCGCAATTATCCAGGTACTAGTTTCTGTTCAAATGAGTTTATTTGTCCCCCTTAAAGTCTATCCGGATGACCTTCCATTCCTCATTCTTAACTCCCTGTAGAGTATATAGCTGTGGCTGACAATGGGATGCGTGAAGAAGTGAACACCCCATCACCTATCGGGTACCCATTACCTGCTGGGTGAACAGAGACTAAGTCACGGGGTCAGGGTCACACCACAAGTGTTGACACTCGTGAGTGTGTACGCATTCATGCCGTGACCGTATGATCATGGACACTGGTCCTGAGGCTAACAACCCGGTCACTAGCGATCTCAACACTTGATGCTTCAGATGTGTGTGTGTGAGTTTAGTGTTACGCCGCAATATTCCAGCTATATGGCGGCGGTCTGTAAATAATCGAGTCTGGACCAGACAATCCAGTGATCAACAGCATGAGCATCGATCTGCGCAATTGGAATACGATGACATATGTCAACCAAGTCAGCGAGCCTGACGACCCGATCCCGTTAGTTGCCTCTTACGACAAGCATTAATTACTGAAGATCAATATTCTAACCCGGACCTTCACGGGTTGGTGCTTCAGATGGAAGACCGCCCTGCTAACCGATATTCCAACGACTTGTCAACTAGCTATCACAATCTTGTCGGACTAGGGTCCATTGTGGGCTCAGAGAAATACACCACAAATGTATGCAAATCGCAAAATAACATTTACCTTGCTAACATATCTTGTATATACGTAACATATCTGACTTAATGAGGGCCTGAGCAATATTACTATTTGTGTTATATTCTGTGTCTTTGTATGATGTGACTAAATATAACAAAGTAAAGGAGTCTGGGTCCATTGACACACTAATGCAGCCAACCACCTTCCCAATACACTCTGCCTAATCGTCAAGACTTAGTGTGACCTTCCAGAAAGGGAGACAACTTGCACTCCACTTTTACGCCCTATGTTTATATCACTTCAGTGAAATAGTGATAATCATAATCAGGGCAATCCTGGGATTCGAACCAGGTAACATGTCCAGACTAAGGGACACCTTACATGTGGGCCATCGTGTAGAAAGTCCACATCACCACATAAACAATTTGCAGCGGCCCAGTTGGAAATGACGGATACACACGTCGATTGTGTTGAACTTCCATCCAGACAGCAGTTTGACAATGCTGTCTATGTACAGTGCAACCTGAAAGTACAAAAAGACAGTGTATGCAGAACGCCAGACATACGACACAAGGCAGAAGTAACGCTACGTGGAAGGCCAGACCACATATGTACCTGTGTTCATAACTTCTCCGTGAAGGTTAGTTAGTTACCCATGTCAAATTTCTGTGTTTTCTAAAACCTGGTTGTTTTTATATGATTATCTTTTTGAATATCCTTCGCAATTTGTTTAGAACTTACTCACCATTCCAGTTAGAAGTCCAACTAGAAACGTAATAATCCATTTTACAGCCTCGATCTTGTTGTCCGACTGAAAGAGAATTCTCAAAATGTTCTCATGATACACTTTATTTCTTGGCAATGAAATATCTTTTAGCTTATCACGCGATAAAGTGTCCAAATACCACCTTCCCTGCCCTCACCCCAACACCCACACAATCAGCCCTCACCCCAAATCACCCCCTATCAGCCCTCACCCCAACCCCTTCCTATCAGCCCTCACACCAACACCCACACTATCAGCCCTCACCTCAACCCCTCCCTATCAGCCCTCACACCAACACCCACACTATCAGCCCTCACCTCAACCCCTCCCTATCAGCCCTCACACCAACACCCACACTATCAGCCCTCACCCCAACCCCTTCCTATCAGCCCTCACACCCAACACCCACGCTATCAACCCTCACCTCAACCCCCCCCTATCAGCCCTCACCCCACCCACCCCTATCAGCCCTCACCCCAACCCCCCCCTATCAACCCTCACCCCTACCCCCTCCCTATCAGCCCTCACCTCAACCCCTCCCTATCAGCCCTCACCCCAACCCTATCAGCCCTCGCCCCAACCCCTCCCCCCCATCAGCCCTCATCTCAACCCCTCCCTATCAGCCCTCACCCAAACCCCCTCCCTATCAGCCCACACAGGTGTAATCCATGGATCGATCTTCAGTAAACATGAAACAAATGATCATTTGACGTTAGGATGACAAGTGCACCATGACTCTTCGCAATAATACCCTCTTCTGTTGCCTACACCCGTGAAGATCCGGGTTAGAATTGATCTTCAGTAACCCATGCTTTTCGTAAGTGGCGACTAACGGGAATGGGTGGTCAGGCTCGCTGACTTAGTTGACACATGTCATCTTATCCCAGTTGCGCAGATCGATGATCATGTTGTTGATCACTGGATTGTCTGGTCTAGACTCGATTATTTACAGACCGCCGCCATATAACTGGAATATTGCTGAGTGCGGTGTAAAACTAAAGTCACTCACTCACTTCTGTTGCCTATATATACACTTTTACACACAGATCTTCCCCCATTTCATGTATCAAACATGTTACCACTACAGTCATAATCTCTGCTTGACATAACGTCTCTGACACTCACGTGTTCCTGCAGCTGACTCTTCAGAAGCTGCTCGTAAGGTTCGTTAAAACATCTGTCGTAATCCAAACTCTGGAGAAACATGGCACAGTAGAAATTAATAGGTCAAGATTTAAAACAAAAGCACATGGTAATCCCCAGCAAATCAAACTTATCGCAAAGATCAGCTCACACATAATGCTTGGGTGGTCAGAATGTGTGGCCCCGTCCCCATTGTATTACTTATCGTGGTTTGTGTGACGAAGACTCGATTCTGTACATTTGTAATATAGCTGCGTGCGGATATAAACAAATCCAGCCAGCCTATTGCGAGCGGTCACACTATTTGACCAAAGCGCACCTACAATCATACAAGTCACGCGCCATCACCGGACATGCGACCACCATGGACAACCCAGCTGAATTGTCTGAGTGAGTGAGTGAGTTGGGGGAAACTGCTCTTTGAACAATATTCCACTGGTATCATGGATTGTAAGTTTGATACCGCAAGAAAGCTCGAAGTGCTCCATGTTTTAAGCATGTACCACTTGGTGAGACATGCGAGCACGTCTTGCTGACAAACCTAGAAACACAATCGGGGCAAACTGGACTTAAATCTACCATCACAGGTGCCTGACGTTCACAAGGGACGCAACTCTGTATGACCCTTTGGCGACAAGGCGGAACATGCTCTCGACAGTCAAAGAATGATGGTGTCAAATGTTAAGGATCAACAACACTTGAGTTACTTATCGAGATTACGTAGTATTAACTAAATTAAAAACAAGCTTACTTCAAAGTCCTTTGTCAGGAGGGTTGGCTGACGAGGCGGCAACAGTGGGGTCTGCGGAGACAGTTAGGTGTTGACTGTGTGAACACATGGAGTATTCTACATGGACATTATTCATTTCAAATGTAATTATGTCACACTTACCACTGTGTTCGCTTTAAAGGAAACCCAAATATCAAATAATAAATCTAAAGTGCCTGGATCTAATTACCAGTTGATTAACAACATGACTTAGTTTAACGAGTTGCTGGAGTATATATAAATAAACAGAGCGTGAAATAAAACTGCATGATCTAAATTACATTTTACGCCACATAAAACCTATTATTTCGAAGCTCTGTTTCCCATATTGTTTATCGTTAAAATATATAAAGATTAATGATAATAATTGCGTGTAACCAGATAAGGGTTTTAAGCTGTCGCAATGAGTATTTTACTGTCTGCATTTGATTTGCTGTGTTAAATGGAGCGAGGTAATTGCATCTAGTTCAAGGAGATTCCCAACTATGCAGGCTTTATTTGAAGGAAATATTAAAGTTAATGGTGTTATGCTTTTAGACAATCACTTTTAGTATGATAAAAAAAGTGTTCTTTTCATAAGATTATGTAGAGACCGTGCAAAGTGGCGTTGAGCAAATAAACTGACAAACACTTCACACCTAAGCAACCCGCTAAAATACATTTAGTGATCTGGGTTCAAACGCTTTCTAATCTGTAGAGACAAAATACACCGTTTCGTATTTGTCAGTCAACAAAAATTATTCAACAAAAGCATCCTCGTGAGTTTCTAAACACAGCTTATTTAAGAGAAATAAATAATGTTTATGTCAAATGAGATGCAGACGACATAATATCCAGTAGGTCAAAAGTCAAGGGGGCGTGTTGTTTGGGTGCTGGAATAATTCGATACTTCACGTAATGACAAGAAAAACATACAGGTCTAACTAGCCGTGAGGGCTGGTGTCGGTGGGGGTGACAGTGACAGTAACCTACCCTCTCTTCATCGTCGGCCGTGTCAACCTCATCACCCCGGAGACGATCCCTCGAAACGACGGACCTACTGGTGGAAGCCATTTTGACGACCTTAACCTATGACATGGCGGTAGATTTGATTTGGTGGGCGTGACAGCACTGTCGATCCACGTGCTGGAGCGGTATCGTTTCCGGATGAGATAGCGACAATCGGGGACCGCTGTATGATCAGTGTTAGAGTACACAAACAATACATATACGGGCCAACTGGTGTAAGACATTAAACAGACCTTTACCTATGCTGGTGACAATAGCGGGTGTGATAGCGCCAGTCGGCCACCGTCTTGATAATCAGTGTAAATGTACAGAAACAGCATAATTATACATTATATACAATAACAGTACATTCCTATTCAGCACGTGTGATACTCCATATCCCTACTCATATCACACTGTTCTGTTTCACGTTTCGTACTGTATCTTTCCTGACTAGACGTGTCATACTACATGTTCCCTTAATACACGTGTGATAATTTAAGTTACCTGATTACACGTGTCATAGATTATGTTCCCTAACTACAGGCGTGTCATACATTGTGTTCCCCACCCACACGTGTTATACTTTAAGATACATCACTACATATGTCATACTGTGTGTTCCCATTACTACACGTGCCATGCATAATGTTCCCTCAATACACGTGTCATAATTTAATTTCCGCGGTGGAGTGGATAGAGCATCTGTCTGGGGATCGCAGCCGTGGTGGGGCGGATAGAGCATCTGTCTGGGGACAGCAGCCGTGGTGGAGAGGATAGAGCATCGGTCTGGGGACCGCAGCCGTGGTGGAGTGGATAGAGCATCTCTCTGGAAACCGCCTCAGTGGTGGAGAGGATAGAGCATCTGTCTGGAGACCGCATCCGTGGTGGAGCGGATAGAGCATCTGTCTGGAGACCGCATCCGTGGTGGAGAGGATAGACCATCTGTCTGGAGACTGCCTCTGTGGTGGCGCGGATAGATCATCTGTCTGGAGACCGCCTCCGTGGTGGGGTGGATAGAGCATCTGTCTGGAAACCGTCTCCGTGGTGAAGCGGATAGAGCATCTGTCTGGAGACCGCATCCGTGGTGGAGAGGATAGAGCATCTGTCTGGAGACCGCCTCCGTGGTGGAGCGGATAGAGCATCTGTCTGGAGACCGCATCCGTGGTGGGGTGGATAGAGCATCTGTCTGGAAACCACCTCCGTGGTGAAGCGGATAGAGCATCTTTCTGGAGACCGCCTCCGTGGTGGGGTGGATAGAGCATCTGTCTGGAGACCGCCTCAGTGGTGAAGCGGATAGAGCATCTGTCTGGAGACCGCATCCGTGGTGGAGTGGATAGAGCATCTGTCTGGAGACCGCATCCGTGGTGGAGAGGATAGAGTATCTGTCTGGAGACCGCCTCTGTGGTGGAGTGGATAGAGCATCTGTCTGGAGACCGCCTCCGTGGTGGGGTGGATAGAATCATCTGGTGGAGAGGATAGAGCTGGAGACCGCCTCTGTGGTGGAGAGGATAGAGCATCTGTCTGGGGACTGCATCCGTGGTGGAGAGGATAGAGCATCTGTCTGGGGACCGCATCCGTGGTGGAGAGGATAGAGCATCTGTCTGGAGACCGCCTCCGTGGTGGAGCGGATAGAGCATCTGTCTGGAGACCGCCTGGTGGGAGAGGATAGAGCATCTGTCTGGAGACCGCATCCGTGCCTCATCTGTGGTGTGGAGGAGGATAGAGCATCTGTCTGGAGACCGCATCCGTGGTGGAGAGGATAGAGCATCTGTCTGGAGACCGCCTCCGTGGTGGGGTGGATAGAGCATCTGTCTGGAGACTGCCTCCGTGGTGAGGTGGATAGAGCACCAGTCTGGAAACCGCCTCCGTGGTGGGGTGGATAGAGCATCTGTCTGGAGACCGACTCTGTGGTGGAGAGGAATGAGTATGTGTCTGGAGACCGCCTCTGTGGTGGAGTGGATAGAGCATCTGTTTGGAAACCGCCTCCGTGGTTGAGTTGACAGAGCATCTGTCTGGAGACGGCCTCAGTGGTGGAATGGGAAGAGAGTCTGTCTGGGGACCGCCTCCGTGGTGGAGCGGATAGAGCATCTGTCTGGAGACCGCATCCGTGGTGGAGCGGATAGAGCATCTGTCTGGAGACCGTCTCCGTGGTGGAGCGGATAGAGCATCTGTCTGGAGACCGTATCCGTGGTGGAGAGGATAGAGCATCTGTCTGGAGACTGCCTCTGTGGTGGCGTGGATAGAGCATCTGTCTGGAGACCGCATCCGTGGTGGAGAGGATAGAGCATCTGTCTGGAGACTGCATCCGTGGTGGAGAGGATAGAGCATCTGTCTGGGGACCGCATCCGTGGTGGAGCGGATATAGCATCTGTCTGGAGACCGCATCCGTGGTGGAGAGGATAGAGCATCTGTCTGGGGACCGCATCAGTGGTGGAGAGGATAGAGCATCTGTCTGGAGACCGCATCCGTGGTGGAGCGGATAGAGCATCTCTCTGGAGACCGCATCCGTGGTGGAGCGGATAGAGCATCTGTCTGGAGACAGCATCCGTGGTGGAGAGGATAGAGCATCTGTCTGGAGACCGCATCCGTGGTAGAGTAGATAGAGCATCTGTCTGGAGACCGTCTCTGTGGTGGAGCGGATAGAGCATCTGTCTGGAGACCGCATCCGTGGTCGAGAGGATAGAGCATCTGTCTGGAGACTGCCTCTGTGGTGGCGTGGATAGAGCATCTGCCTGGAGACCGCATCCGTGGTGGAGAGGATAGAGCATCTGTCTGGAGACTGCATCCGTGGTGGAGAGGATAGAGCATCTGTCTGGGGACCGCATCCGTGGTGGAGAGGATAGAGCATCTGTCTGGAGACCGCATCCGTGGTGGAGAGGATAGAGCATCTGTCTGGAGACCGCCTCCGTGGTGGAGCGGATAGAGCATCTGTCTGGAGACCGCATCCGTGGTGGAGGGGATAGAGCATCTGTCTGGAGACCGCCTCCGTGGTAATATGGATAGAGCATCTGTCTGGAGACCTCCTCTGTGGTGGGGTGGATAGAGCATCTGTCTGGAGACCGCCTCCGTGGTGGGGTGGATAGAGCATCTGTCTAAAGACCGCCTCCGCGGTGGAGAGGATAGATCATCTGTCTGGAGACCGCATCCGTGGTGGAGACGATAGAGCATCTGTCTGGGGACCGCATCCGTGGTGTAGAGGATAGATCATCTGTCTGGAGACCGCCTCAGTGGTGGAGAGGATAGAGCATCTGTCTGGAGACCGCCTCCGTGGTGGAGTGGATAGAGCATCTGTCTGGAGACCGCCTCCGTGGTGGGGTGGATAGAGCATCTCTCTGGAGACCGCCTCAGTGGTGGAGAGGATAGAGCATCTGTTTGGAGACCGCCTCCGTGGTGGGGTGGATAGAGCATCTCTCTGGAGACCGCCTCAGTGGTGGAGAGGATATAGCATCTGTCTGGGGACCGCATCCGTGGTGGAGAGGATAGGGGATGCGCCTGGGGACCGCATCCGTTGTGGAGAGGATAGAGCATCTGTCTGGGGACTGCCTCCGTGGTGGAGAGGATAGAGCATCTGCCTGGAGACTGCCTCAGTGGTGGGGCGGATAGAGCATCTGTCGGGAGACCGCATCCGTGGTGATGAGGATAGAGCATCTGTCTTGAGACCGCATCCGTGGTGGAGAGGATAGAGCCTCTGTCTGGAGACCGCATCCGTGGTGGAGCGGATAGAGCATCTCTCTTGAGACTGCATCCGTGGTGGAGAGGATAGAACATCTGTCTGTGGACTGCCTCCGTGGTGGAGAGGATAGAGCATCTGTCTGGAGACCGCATCCGTGGTGGAGTGGATAGAGCATCTGTCTGGAGACCGCATCCGTGGTGGAGCGGATAGAGCATCTGTCTGGAGACCGCCTCTGTGGTGGAGCGGATAGAGCATCTGTCTGGAGACCGCATCCGTGGTGGAGAGGATAGAGCATCTGTCTAGAGACCGCCTCCGTGGTGGAGAGGATAGAGCATCTGTCTGGAGACCGCATCCGTGGTGGAGAGGATAGAGCATCTGTCTGGAGACCGCCTCTGTGGTGGAGCGGATAGAGCATCTGTCTGGAAACCGCCTACGTGGTGGGGTGGATAGAGAAACTGTCTGGAAACCGCCTCCGTGGTGGGGTGGATAGATCATCTGTCTGGGGACCGCATCCGTGGTGGAGAGGATAGAGCATCTGTCTGGGGACTGCCTCCGTGGTGGAGAGGATAGAGCATCTGTCTGGAGACCGCATCCGTGGTGGGGCGGATAGAGCATCTGTCTGGAGACCGCATCCGTGGTGATGAGGATAGAGCATCTGTCTGGAGACCGCATCCGTGGTGGAGAGGATAGAGCATCTGTCTGGAGACCTCCTCTGTGGTGGAGCGGATAGAGCATCTGTCTGGAGACCGCATCCGTGGTGATGAGGATAGAGCATCTGTCTGGAGACCGCATCCGTGGTGGGGTGGATAGAGCATCTGTCTGGAGACCGCCTCCGTGGTGGGGTGGATAGAGCACCTGTCTGGAAACCGCCTCCGTGGTGGGGTGGATAGAGAAACTGTCTAAAGACCGCCTCCTTGGTGAAGAGGATAGATCATCTGTCTGGGGACCGCCTCCGTGGAGGAGTGGATAGAGCATCTGTCTGGAGACCGCCTCTGTGGTGGAGAGGAATGAGTATGTGTCTGGAGACCGCCTCTGTGGTGGAGTGGATAGAGCATCTGTCTGGAAACCGCCTCCGTGGTTCAGTTGACAGAGCATCTGTCTGGAGACGGCCTCCGTGGTGGAATGGGAAGAGAGTCTGTCTGGGGACCGCCTCCGTGGTGGAGCGGATAGGACGTCACTCTGGGGACCACCTCCGTGGTGGAGTGGAAAGAACGTCTGTCTGGAGACCACCTTTATGGTGGAGCGGATAGAGCATCTCTCTATGGACCGCATCCGTGGTGGAGCGGATAGAGCGTCTGTTAGGAGGTCGCCTCCGTGGTTGAGTGGACAGAGCATCTGTCTGGAGACCGCCTCCGTAGTGGAGTAGATAGTGCGTCTGTCTGGAGGTCGTC